CCCAACAGTTGCTTCCCTTCATTTATAACAGCATTGCTTATGCTCTATTGGGGCCTATTCTTGATGAGATTAGGGCACCTAAATAATTGGAAAGTTGCTTCCCCACTCACAAAACTACAACACCCCTACCAACAGAGATTACCCTATAGATTTTTCACACATCTACCGGACATCTAAAGTCTTCCATTATGCTCTTTTTGTTAACCAAGATTACATTGCATGGTTGAATGAAATGGAGAAAATTAAAGGTGACATTTGGAAGGCCCGAGGAATTTTTGACTTGATTCATCTTTCTAGGGTTGGCCCTAGTTATTGCAATCACATGCTGATTTCTGCACTCTATTTTTGGAAAGGCTCCACAACACCTTTCATTTTGCAGTTGGGAAGATTACTCCTACCCTATTTGACATTGCGGCCATCACTGGTCTCCGCCCCATAGGTGAAACATTCTTTCCCACTGAAGCAGACGAATATGCAATTCCTTTTGAAAAGGACATTGTTGGCTTCACCAAATATATGGAGTGTTTTCACACTAAAGATGACTACATCGTGTCTGACGAAGAGCACATTGCATTCTTGGCCTTGTGGATTTCCAAGTATTTCTTCTACAGTCAATCTATGAAGGTAGATAAACAATTCATTGTGTTAGCTCATCACCTCTATCTGGGTCAAAACATATGCCTGATCAAATTTATTTTGGGGCCACTCTATGAATCGCTCAGCGTGAGGGTCGATCATATGACCTCACTTTCATCTACTGCCATCTATCTACTTGTTGGGCTTTTCTGGCTGCATCAAATATGGTTAAATGCCACTTTTACGAGCCAGGTCAAGTTGCGCCTTTCTGAAGAACAGGAGACTGCATTTTCCCAACGTGCCAACGAAAGCCTTCGTGTTGCTGCAATGACGCATTCTAACAGTGACATGAATCAAGAGGAGTCGCTTGAGAAATAACCAAAGTTTTTCTTTAGGTGCACTTCTTTTCAGTCAAGCATGGTGCACTTTGCCTCTAGACCACATGGTCCTAAGTGGTCCACTCGATCATTTCCTCTCGTCGATCCTACGCAGATTCCGGAATCCAAAGCCATTTAGCAAGCTTTACAGCGTAGCACTCATGTGTTATCAGCTTAATCTAGTGGCTAGGAAATTTAGCTTGTGCCAATCTTTGCCTCACAGCTTTTATAAGCCATTAGATGAACTGTGCCTTTCATCCACCAACTATAGTGAGGGCGAATGTGCTCAACGACTTCAACGTTTTGCTGTTGACGTCCCCAATATGACTCATGTCGCCTTCAAACCCCTCTTCTACACCACTAAGGAGTTCTTCTATAATTGGTGGACTGTGCAATTCGTGCAAAGTAATGGGACTCTCAAGTCCTTCAAGGATTGACTGAACCATGCTTATGAAGCTATGCAGCAAAAGTTTAGGAAAGGTATGGCTTACTATTATGAATTCCACTCGCCTTCTCGTTTGCCTTCTTGCTTCTTTATGTTTTTACTTCTAACGCTTCGTCTTATGCTATTGCCTCATTCAGCGGTTGAGCACAAGAAATACGCCAGGGAAGCTATCAGTGGTGCGACTATTTCTCCCTCATCTAATGAAGCCCTTGGAACTTCTTCTCAGGTAATCTGCTAATTTGATGGTTTACTAATTGTTTGCGTTCCCTTTCTAACCCTTTGATTATGTTGACACATTCGTAGGCCCCTGAAGCTAACACCGTCGTCCCTCTGAAACCATCCCCAAAGAGACGGAAACACTCTTATAACCAAGAGAAACGATCTGACGACGCATCTTCGCCTGCCATCCCAAAAAAATCCAAAAAACGTCAGTCAAATCGATCTGAGATTGTCTCAAAAAGGCCAGTTCTTCCACTACACCTGTTCCAGTGGTAGCAAAAGAATGAGTTTTTCATCCTACACCAACTCGACCAGAGAGTATTAACTTTATTCCTGAAGGAGACCATTAGGTACATTCTTCTTCAAAGGTTTTTATCTTAGGAATTGGTTGTCCCTTTTGTGATTATGTTTTTACTTGCCTTTATTGTTTCAACGACTGGCAGTTAAACCTAAAAAACGCCCCGCCAGGATTGTCTTGAAATCATCCAAGACAAAAAAGAAACCTCTCAGTGTCATCTCAGTCATGCTCAGCCAAAGATTCTCCACTCACAATCCATGCTCAGTTAGATCATCCTAGTCTTCCCAAATTACAAAAGTTAGTGCCAAGTTTATCGAAAGTGTCTACTTTACATTATGAGTCGTGTCTGTTAGGGAAACACACTCGTATTCAATTTCCCAATCGAGTCAATAAATAATCTTCATTCCCTTTTGCTTTAGTTTACTCTGATGTTTGGGGTCCCTCACATACTATCTCTACTCTTGGTTATTTTTAATGAAAAATGGATCATAATTATTTTCTATTTTTGAAAGAGTTTATAAAGAAATAAAAACTCAGTTTGGCGTGTCTATTCGTACCTTAAGAAGTTATAATGCTCGTGATTATTTATCCCAACAATTTCAAACTTTTATGTCTAGTAATGGTATTCTCCACCAATCATATTGCCCTCATACACCTCAACAAAACAGGGTAGCCGAATGCAAAAATCGACATCTTGTAAAAACCACTCAAACCCTACTTCTCCATTGTAATGTTCCACTTCAGTTTTGGGGAGACGTTACGCTAACGACATGCCACTGAAACAACCGGCTGAAAATAATCAAACAATGAAGTCGCCATCAAACGTCATTTATCCCACATGAAGGGAAAGGTAAACATCAAGAAAACCTAAGAAGGGAGAAGTCACGGTCTTGCGACCGAGAGATCGGGTAAGGGAGTCTGTTACGCGAGGGGAAGGTATTAGCACCCCACACGCCCGTAGTACTCTACGGTATCCACTCTTGTTGTTTATCTTATGGGTGTGTTTAATCTATGCTTATTGTTTACTACTGCTAAAGGGAGAATGCATGCTAAAGAAAGGAGAAAAGAATATAGGGAAAATAAAATTGTACTCGCTTGGGCCCTACCCTAATGCATACGTATCCTTTTTGAGGAATCAAAGCTACCGTAGTTTGGCTCACATGTTTTTGTTTGTTTTATTTTTTTATGGGAGATGTTAATTCCGCCTTCTGCCGCAACTCGACCTTTGGAGACTTATGCGTTGGCACAGAAGTAAACCAATCATGTCCTTACCTGAAAAGGGTTTTAGAGAGAAGGTTCTTGGGCGCATAAAAAGGTTTGAATTGGTTTGTATTTTGTTACCTTGAAAAAGGGTTTAAGTGAGATTAGCATGTTTTATGATTCGCTAAAGAAAAAGTTTTAGTATGAATGCATATGCAAAAGGGGAAGAAAAAAGTCTAAGGGAGACTAGCCTATTTCTAACCTAATGTTATCATACAATGGTAGTCCTAAGGTTTGGATTGACAAAATGGAAATGTCTACCTAATTATAGCATGCACAGTTTGCAACCTAAGGTCTAATTTGCATCCGAACAGAGTAAGCGCATCCTAAGGAAACATGGTATATACAAGGACAAAGCAAACAAGCTCGAAGAAGCACACACATAAAAGAGTAAGGAAAAGAAGAGAAATGCTTTAGCCAAGGGGAGCGTATCACCCGAGACAAACAAGAGGGAGTGAGATGAAAAAGTAAAAATGTGATGTCCAAAGCGACTGAACACCTAAACCAGATATAAGAGATCGAGGCAAGCGAAAGAAGCCAATATGAACGATCACGGAGTATCAGCATCGGCCAATGCGAACTCCTGACAAAGTGTGGTGGTTCGATTGCAGAAACCTTCCCCACATGACGACTCTATATACAAGAGAAGGCACAACTCTAAAGCTTCGTGGTGCATCACGATCTAAGGATGACACAAACGAAGTTGTGGGGGTTGATTACTAACCCTCCCTGCTCGCCTCCTTTTGAGGACTTCAATAAGGGATGGGGGAGTAATGTGGGCACAAATATAAACACACCTGTAGAATACCTACTCAAAGGTAGGGTTTTAAACAAACCACACACAAGTAGCAAACAAAATGCACACAATACGGAATTCCCCTAAACGGGTCTTTAAATAAACCAGAGGGGTTCCTGACAAGATCAGCAACGAAGACCCTCATCATACATCTCTACCCTACTTCTCATGGAATCAAAAAGCAGTATAGCCCTACTTCTCATGATTTCTAGAAAAGCAGTAAAGAAGTACGATAAAGTGCGAAAATGAAGAATAAAATGAAATTGCGTTGGTACCGAACGAAGAAGGTATGTTGCCTCTTCAAAACCCTGCAAGCAAAGAGAAAACTCTATATAAAATCTCCTTGGACTTCCTTGATAAAAATTATGCTCTTAGTTAGCTCCAAAACTTCTTGAAGCTCTTCACTCAATATCATCCTGCAATCATACCAACACGTATAATGGGTCGAGCACTTATATCATGCAAATGGCATCTAGATATCTCAAATAAGATAAAAAATCATCACAATAATTGATCATAAAAGAAATCTAACTAATTTCTAAAATTCCCCAATATTTCCTACTCTTTTTACTCATGCCTCTTCAACAAAAATCTATCAAAATTAATATAAATGAAAATTGCTAAAAGAATAGGGAACACTCTAAGCAGAGGGGGCGTATAACTGGATCAAGGGGTGGTTAAAACATTAATACATGGCCCAGTCTGTAAGGTCTACCAGCAGTTTTTTCTTTCAAGCCTTGATTATCAAAATGAAACAGGCCTTGGATATTTGGCCCAACTTATCCCATCCCATAACCACTTCAAACCAGCTTCATTAACATATTAACAATAATAATAATAAAAATAGATAAAAAATATAAATAAAAAGGCTTGAACGCATCATTTGTGTTAGGGTTTGATGCTGCAATGATTCATCTTCTTAGATCAAACTCCATCTTCTCCTTCGCGGCGCTTAGTCGCTTCTCCGTGCCTCTCTGGAGGAAATTGTCTCTGTTACCGTTTCAATCATGCTTCAATCGCGGATTCACCATGAGTGGTATCTCCTTTTCTTTCTGCTCAATCAGACGCGACTCCCTTCTTCTTCAAACTTATCCTCTAATGAGTTTCAATGAGCCATCGATGTCTCACTCTTTCACTCATTCTCAATCTCACCGCTCGAATCTAAACAACCTCGAATCAAACCCTAACCCAAGCGTTGCGTTCGAGAAAACCAGGTAATTCCTCCGCTTCTGATTTGTTGGCTCTTCTTGTTATTCTTCTCTCTGATTTGCACTTCGTGGATGTGTTGTTGATCGCATTGTAGAAAGATGTTCATGTTGGGCGTGATTCTGACTTAGTGTTGTTATTGCTTGAATGCAGGGAAGAAGATTGAAGGAGATTCTTGCTATTATTCTTGATGAAGATGATGATGATCGAAGTTGTTGAGGATGAAGATTGAAACCATTGTTGTTGTGGGAAGAAGATGAGATTCAAGATGTTGATGTATTGAGGTTGGAATCACGCATTCAAATCAGTAGCCAAAAATGATGCAAGTTTTTAAGGTTAAAGTAGAGGAGGTTACATATAAGGATGAAGATCAAAGACCCTGTGTGATGGAGACGATGAATCGGTATATGATGGAGATTGTGCAGAAGCTCCAAGAAGATTGAAGAGAATGTCGAGCATTGTTGAGTTAGAGATGTGATGCCGAAGTAGATGAACATGAGGAAGCAAGATTATGTAGAGAATTTCAATTGGAGAATTGATGAAGATGATGGAAGGACTGAATCTGGTGAGTTTCTGTAACTGGATTTTTTTGATAATTATCTGTAACTATTTTTTTGTTGAAACTTTTCTCTGATTCTTTCTCTCAGAATTGAAGAATAATGGTGAATGATGAAGATAGAAGATGAGAGGTTGATGATTTGAATATTGAGAAAGGGAGAGTGAAAGTGAAGGTAGAGTGTAGAGGAAATTGGATGAGAGATTTTGAGAGGTCTCTATGATTTATTTATGGTTGTAGGGTGAAGATCGAGAGAGAAAGAGAGAGATTGTTGTGTTTTTGTAACTGAACCCTCTCTTGAAAATGTGAAAACAATTATGTTATATATCTGATTTAGGATGGAGAAAAGTTGGTTAGAATTGTTAGAAAGTAGTTAGAAAATTGTTATGTGCTTTGAGCTGTTAGTTGGAATGTAGGGTTGTTAGGAAGTTATGAAATCGGTTAGGAGTCAGGGTGAGTTATTTGACAATTAGCTATGGTTGTTAAAGGGTTTGGGAAGATCCATTCTATTGGCTCTGTTAGTTACCATTAGTTATAGGGCTCCAGCAGTTATAGGGAAACGTTTTGAATTTGTTTTGCGGTTTGAACTGTTATGTTAATGCAGGGGCTGGTTGGCAATTCTGTTCTTGCTGTTTTCGATTATAATTTCTGTTTTGGTTCAGTTAGGTAGTTGGTTAGAGGTTAGTAAAACAGTTAGGGATTGACAGTTTGGTTGAGATTCTATTGTGAAAGTTAGGATGTTAGAGTGGATTTTCTGTATTGGTTTTTGGTTTATTGGTTATGGACTGATTTTTATTAATGTAGAATATCAGTTATGCAGGTTCACGGTTTCAAATGGTGAAGTGCTTGGATTTGGTTGCAAGGAACAAAGTGAGAAAAAAGTTTGAAAAATATGGAATCTTGTCATGGGAAGCAAGCATGAAGATGTATAAGCACTAGGACCCAGGCTTAGAATAAAAGTTTGTGTAATGGTTTTCTTTGAATAAAAAGCAATGTGACAATTGAATTTTGTAATGATTTATAGTGTAATGCGATTTTGATAATGATAAGTTTTGATTCGAAAATAATCACAACTAAATCTTAATGGAAAATGGTTTTGAATGGAATTTGATATCTTGGGTAATGGAATTTGTAATGTAAGGAATTGGTAACTTATAAACCGTATTAATGATATGGAATACCAATTTCCCTCTTTTCCAAATTTGAACTTCAATTCCTTCTTTAATTCCTTAATAATTCCACAAGGTCCCATGTATGCTTCTAACAACTTTGATGAATTGAACCAAGTTTGAATGCATGGAATCGTTTAAATCCACTTCAACTTTAATCCAATATTAACTCGCATGATAAGAAACAAACCATTTAAAAGAATGACGCCTTGATTATAATCCGCATCTTGTACCATGTCTCAATTGTATGAGCAATAACAATGTCTGGGATCCTTGAAGAAAATATTCAAGATGACTTTGACCTTAAACCCTTGCTCACATAGTCTTTACTTAAACCTTTAGTGAAACCCTAATGATCCTGCCCTTGATGAAGACAACAACGTTGTAGCCTAATGAGAGAGAGAAGTTCTCAATGATCAAGAATCCAAACCCTAGCTCCACAAACCACAGTTAATGAGAAACCAATTGATTCAAGCCTGAATGAAGATAAGAGTCTAAAAGCACCTACAAAACCCTAACTTTAGGATCCTTGTTCTTATGCCAAATTTACTGATTAATGATGCACGGTGTGTTATATGATCTAATGGAGGGTATGCAAATGGGATGAGAAGCACAAAATGCATAAGCCAGATAAAAGTGAGAAGGTAGGACAAATTTAGGGTATTAATGCTGCCCCTATTTAATCGTCTTAAACCTTAAAGTACGATTGTCGTATGCCTTTCAGAAGTTCAAGGTTGAAGATGATTAAATACCAATGCCAAAAATTTGTTATGAAAGATGGTGGTAAGTGTTTATTTTTGCAACATCCATTGGGGAATTAAAAGAGTGGAACTAAACTAGAGGTATACACCGATCAGGACACGACGACATTAGAATACATCGATCAGGACACGATGACTGAGAGGAAACCACCGATCAAGACACGATGATTGAAAGGAAGACATTGATCAGGACACGATGGCTAACAAGAATACATCGATCAGGACACGATGATTCGTGGGAGAGGTGTCGATCAGGACACGATAACCAAAAGGAAGACATCGATCAGGACACAATGGCTAACAAGAATACATCGATCAAGACACGATGATTCACATGAGAGGTATCGATTAAGACACGATAACCAAAAGGGATAAACTAATCAGGACACGGTGGCTAATAGGAATACATCGATCAGGACACGATGATTCGCGGAAGAGGTATCGATCAGGACACGATAACCAAAAGGGAGACATCAATTAGGACACGATGGCTAATAGGAATACATCGATCAGGACACGATGATTCGCAGGAGAGGTATCGATCAAGACACGATAACCAAAAGGGAGACATCGATCAGGACACGATGGCTAATAGGAATACATCGACCAGGATACGATGATTCGTAGGAGATGTATCGATCAGGACACGATAACCAAAAGGAAGACATCGATCAGGACACAATGGCTAATAGGAATACATCGATCAGGACACGATGATTTATAGGAGAGGTATCGATCAGGAAACGATAACCAAAAGGGAGAGATCGATCAGAACACGATGGCTAATAGGAATACATCGATCAGGACACAATGATTTGCAGGAGAGGTACCGATCAGGACACGATAACCAAAAGGAAGACATTGATCAGGACACGATGGATAATAGGAATACATCGACCAGGACACAATGATTTGCAAGAGAGGTATCGTTCAGGACACGAACCAAAAGGGAGACATCGGTCAGGACACGATGGCTAGTAGGAATACATCGATCAGGACATGCTGATTCGCAGGAGAGGTATCAATCAGGATACGATAACCAAAAGGAAGACATTGATCAGGACACAATGGCTAAAAGGAATACATTGATCAAGACACGATGATTCACAAGGGAGGTATCGATCAGGACACGATAACCAAAAGGAAGACATCGATCAGGACACGATGGCTAACAGGAATACATCAATCAGGACACGATGATTTGCAAAGGGAGGTATCAATCAGGACACGATAACCCAAAGGAAGACATCAATCAGGACATGATGGCTAACAAGAATACATCAATCAGGACACAATAACCAAAAGGAAGACATCGATCAGGACACGATGGATAGCAAGAATACATCGATCAGGACACAATGATTTGCAGGAGGGGTATCGATCAGGACACATAAACTAAAAGGAAGACATCGATCAAGACATGATGAGTGTTTAGAAATTGACCCTATGAGTATTTAGATATTGACACGACGAGTATTTAGCAGTTGACATGATGAGTGTTTAGAAGCTGACACGATGAGTGTTAGAAGGTAGCATGATGTAAACACAAGGACAAAGAAGACTTGTAACTTGGTGTGATGCCAATACAAGGAAAAGATTGGACTTGTAACATATCATGATGCCAATACAAGGACGAGATCGGACTTGTAATGCAGCATGATGCCAATACAAGGAAGAGATCGGATTTGTAACGTAGCATGATTCTAATACAAGGAAGGGATCAGACTTGGAACGTAGCGTGATGCCAATACAAGGAAGAGATCGGATTTATAATGTAGCATGATGCCAATACAAGGAATGGATCAGAATTGGAATGTAGCGTGATGCCGATACAAGGAAAGTATAACACAAACGAGTGTTTGAATTGATACGGAGAAGTATTGAAGAAAGGTTAAACACGGACGAGTGTTTAAGGGAATGACACAGATGAGTGTTTAGGAGTTGACACAAATGAGTGTTTGGGAAAGTGACAGACAAGTGTTTAGGAACTGAATTATTTGTCAGACCGGGATTGGCTACCAGGAGAAAACTGGGTTTAGAATGACAAAGTGTATTGATTTTGCTGGGGACTCAAGAGTACAAGGTACTGGTATCGTTAGCTAGAAATTATGAAAGTGAAAGTTATCAGCTGGGGATTTGGGAGCAATATCCTCTTAAGGGGACGTAATATTGTCCTTGAATAATTCAAGTCTTTTGTGTAAGGTACCTGATCTGGCTTATGCTTCGTATGCATGTTTGAATTTCTTTTTTCGCAAAGATCCATTATGATGGATTAGCTACACACTTTTGAGGATGAGATGTTATGCAATGATATATATATATATATATATATATATATATATATATATATATATATATATATATATATATATATATATATATATATATATATATATATATATATATATATATATATATATATATATATATATATATATATATATATATATATATATATATATATATATATATATATATATATATATATATATGTTTGTGTGTGTGTGTGTGTAATGCAAATAAATAGACTTCATGAGGATAAGCGAAGGCTCATTGGGAACGGTTGCTTATCACCGGGGATGCAAATACATATCAGTGCTGGAAACCTGCAATATCAGAGACCAATGGGGATACTAGTAAGAATTTACACTAGGGAGCTCATGATACCAAAGATTGTTGATGACTTTGCTGAAGATTGAATTGTTGTCATAGCAAGTTTACAAGCACGTCACTGAATTTCGAATTGCCCTATTGTTGGGGAAGAGATAATCTGGACCGACTTCTCTATATCATGAACCTTCGAGAGGATGGTAGAACTAAATATTCTGAAGAATGGATACTGAACACCATATGAATCTCTCCGGATACATGCCCCAAGTTTACTCCACACTGGGGAATTACCTCTTAAATCACTTGGGGATAAAAGATGGGCATGGACACCTGCGAATACCCCGGTTTAGTTTTGTGAATGCCTCGGTTTACTCCACTGGGGATGCTCTTGATTATATCTTCTGGTAATACACTTGTGCGTGGCAAGTTAAACAGCGACTCCAAACATTCTAAATTCACTTAGGGAATCAGGTTTGAAATTGTCTGTAGCAGATGAATGTGGCTTCACACACTGGCCAGGTTAGGGCGACCATTATGGAGCTTTTAGCTTGATTGTAGTCGTCTCGTGGCGCTTAGTCGCTTCTTCGTGCCTCTCCGGGGAAAATTTTCTCTGTTACCGTTTCAATCATGCTTCAATTGCGGCTTCACCATGAGTGGTATCTCCTTTTCTTTCTGCTCAATCATACGCGGCTCCCTTCTTCTTTAACCTTATCCTCTAATGAGTTTCAAAGAGCCACCGATGTCTCATTATTTCACTCATTCTCAATCTCACCGCCTGGATCTAAACAACCTTGAATCGGACCCTAACCTCGGTGACGCGATTGAGAAAATCAGGTAATTCTTCTGCTTCTGATTTATTGGCTCTTCTTGTTCTTCTTCTCACTGATTTGCACTTCGTGGATGTGTTATTGATCGCGTTGCAGAAAGATGTTGATGTTGGGCGTGATTCTGACTTAGTGTTATTATTGCTTGAATGCAGGGAAGAAGATTGAAGGAGCTTCTTACTATTATTCTTGATGAAGATGATGATGATCGAAGTTGTTGAGGATGAAGATTGAAACCATTGTTATTGTGCGAAGAAGATGAGATTCACGATGTTGATGTATTGAGGTTGGAATCACGCATTCAAATCGATAGCCGAAGATGATGCAGGTTTGTGAGGTTAAAGTAGAGGAGGTTGAAGAGAAGGATGGAGATCAAAGACCTTGTGTGATGGAGACGATGAATCGGTATATGGTGGAAATTATGCAGAAGCTCCAAGAATATTGAAGAGAGTGCCGAGTGTTGCTGAGTTAGAGATATGATGCTGAAGTAGATGAAGATTAGAAAGCAAGATTGTGCAGAGAATTTCAATTGGAGAATTGATGAAGATGATGGAAGGACTGAATCTGGTGAGTGT